TGAACAGACTAACTAACTGATTAGACTAGTAAACTAACTATCATAATTAACTAACTCGTAACATAATCCACGGTAACTTATAAATATACATATAATTAATCAAGTTTGCAATTTGATTCCCTTCTTACTGCTTTTCACTCATTCTTATAATGATAATAATACTTATAACTACATTTGACCTCAATACACATTTTCAATTGCATAATTAATGAATTTATGAATGTTACCTGATCGTGAAGTGCAGTGGATGGTTTCCACGCCAGTCGCCGCTATACGCAGGTAAATCTCCTTTTCTTTTCTTAAGTTATGAACCAAAAATTCTCAACCCTAATAATTTATTTTTCTATAAGGGTCAACTGATATATGGTATTAAAAAAGTAATTATAAACTTAACCCATAATTATTAACTAAAATTAGTTATTTAATAATTAACCGTTAATTAATTTACTCTAGTTAAATGAATATTCAAAATTTCCAAAAATGACCTTTCGGGTCATGACATTATTCACCATTAAAATTCATGTTCGTCCTCGAACATAAAGTAAAAGAAAGTCAAATACTAAGGGATACCAAGAGCCTGAGGTATGACTTTCGGAGTCGTGTTCCTCTCTCCAAGTGAACTCATCCTTAGGACCATTCCATCAAGATCAACTACCGAGAACTGAAATTCCCAATCAAACTTTAGAAGATCTATAAATCAGGAGTGATTATAAAGCCACAAACTAACTCATGAATTCAATCTAAACTGAAACCCATTGGACCATAACACACCCATCTTGAATCGATACCGGCTACAACAAGAAGTAAACTTCAATCAACTATCACACACTCATAATGCTCACCATCACAGATCTTATCAAGATTTTTTATCACAACACAATCTTTTCACGAGCTTAAGTTATAAAAATCTGATCTTTAGACACCGAGTACTCATCAAGGGAAAACCAAACATATCTAACCCAAAGGGGAATAAGATCAAGTAACCACCCAACAAGCGGTACACACCAAGACACAAAACCTTTAACAACAGTTTCTGATAACTATAACTATTCACGAAAGTTCTTCTATAAGTTCTCATAACCAAAGTGGTGTATAAAATTACTGGTATACTTTCACTATCCCAAACAACACCAAATCTATCATAATTGAAATGCCCAAGTCTGCCCAATGATCCAACCCTATCAAGAGGACAATATAGGATCGGTACATCCGATCCACCATTAGGAATTCACCCATAGATATAGCAACACACGTGGA